TGTAAATTATACACTTTTTCTTGTCTTTCAGCAGCACTCTGTCCCCCACCTAGAAATAGCTACTGACTGAACTTTTACTGTGACAAACTGCATGTCTTTCATCATCTAAACTGTCCATCAGCTTTACTGAGTTTCTCTCTTAGATGGAGAGACTGAAGGAGCTCTACTGCCACTAAACTTTTTCCTTCTTTTGTGTGGAATGTATTCCATAATCAGTGCTCTTCTTTTCCTTTTGTGTGTCTGTTCTGCCTTCTCAAATTAGCAGATAATCTCAGTAGATGGCCAACCTTACTGAGCCTATCTAAATTGTAGCAGTAAGAATTACATTTTATTTATGTTTAAACATTTTAAGTGGACTTTTTGACATTTATCAGCTTGACTGAATATGCATTTATGATATCTGAAATATATATATATATATATATATGTAGATTTTCTCTCCACTGTTACCACATGCTCAACCAGGAGGACCAAATGCTACTCAAAGTCATTGAGTATTCAATTTGCTGGGTTTTTCTTAGAAAACAAAGCCCATATGGTGTTGAACCATGACAACAACCAGAGCTACATTTAAAAAAAGCTTAAATCAAATCAAATTAATACGTTAGAATGCCCCAAAATATGTTTAGAACTAAAACCAAGAATCTGTAATAAAACCTTAATATTAATGTTTAACCTGGTCAATCTGATGCCTACGTGTGTGTGTGTATATATATATATATATATATATATACACACACACACACACACACACACACACACACACATACATATATATATATATATATTTTTCCCCTCAAAATTAGTGATTTAGATGTAACATAAAAAAAACTGAAAGTACAACAAGTATTTTGACTCTACAGTATAGTACTTTATTTTACAGACTGAAGAACATGAAAAAACAGTAACATTTGAACTACAGTCGATTATTTCCTACTCTGATAAAGAACAATGGAAAAAAAAAACAAGATAAATAGTTCTAAGACATTATTACACAAAGATAACTTAAATTCTTAAATATATAACTTTCATTAAATACAACTGAATAACACATATTCACGGGTGTACTCACGCCATGTGGAGAGCATGTACACCTTCAGAGACATTCATGAACAATCACAAGGTAGCTTTCACAGGAAGCTCCTCATCCCGCCGTCAACAAGCTCTTCAACATTGAAATTCAAGTCATAAAACACTGTCAGTATGCTGGCATTAAAGTGCTTTCCTGTGACCCTAAGAAGAACACCTGACCTGCGGAGAACAAGCCGGCTGACAAAGTGAAAGGCATCAGTGGACTGTGTCAGCATTGAAATCCTTTGGGTGTTTTCTTACCAGGAGGCACTGACAGTGATGCCTCCAGAAATGTTACATAGGGGGGGGGCCAGATGGGGCCACTAAAAATCCTGGGGTGGCCACTGAAACTAAAAGCCGTAATTTCAGGGTTTGATCTACTATTGTGGTAACCCTGCCTGTAGAAATGATAAAGGCTTCAGTACACACCTACTTATTTATTGTGTGATTTTTCATGTGCATCATGGGATAAAATGCTGAACTGATGCTGGCCAGTGGGGTGGCCAGGGCATTGCACAGGGTGGCCACCCATGGCAAAACTGTGATAAGGCTAGCAGTTCAAACACATCCAAACACAGTGGGTGGCTGAAAGGAAACATTTAAAAGCAGATAGATTTTGTTTTTTTACTTGGTATTCCATTTAATGATCCGTCATTGATTAGCTCCATTACAGCAGAGGGGAAGGCAAGATCTATTCAGCAAGCCTTTGAAATGAATGGAGTTAAGACTATGAGTCGGCTGGTTATTTAGATTTGATCTCCTGTCTGAAGGAATTACAGCCAGGATGACAAAACAAAGAAAAAACAAAAAAAAAAGGATGAACATCTAGGGTTTCATATCATGTGGGTTGTATACTGTAAGGCCACTCAGTCAAGTATTTCCAGATATTTGGTGAGTTTTAACTAATGCAATCTTAGGAATTTTAAACCTTTAAGTTGGAATAATGTAAACAACATATCACACAACAATACTAAAGATAAAATGAAGTGACTTGCTTTTCAACTCTTTTCTTGCTTTTCTTCTCAAACAGCGCCTGTGAGGTCTTCAATGGAGATTTAATAAAATGCATACATAAAATGCTAATGCTACAAAACCATCAATCAGGCCTTTTCTGGTGTCTAGTGATTGTTGAAGTTTGACCTTCTTATTCAGACGTGCCAGCCATGTTCTGAGCCTATAGAGGGATATCTGGCTTATTCTGGTCCCAGCTTATTAAAGCAGCACTGATTACCTTTGACCCACTAGGGGTGCGAGACCTTTAACTTCCAGATCTAACACCCCATGAATGTCACTGCACTGTCTCAAACAGTGTTTGTTTTGTTTGTTTTTTGTTTCTGATGGCCGAACTCATCAGACCAGAAGACTGAGAAGTCATGGAGTTCCTTAAAGACACGGTCACAGTCATCCCTCTAGATTAAATTCTAAATATGCAGTGTTGCTTTACACTAATGAATTTAGGTTCACCTGGTAGGTGTGGAAACATTCTGGCCAGTACTGTGGTCTTTGATCAAACCACTGGCCTTGCGGTGGACTGTTGTCTGCTAGAACAATAGCTGAGAGAGTCCCCATTTGCCGGGCCTATAAGGGATTAGTTTCTGGAACGCGTTTTTCTAACTCTTCTGAGGTCAACTTTGGCATATGTATGATGAAATACTACCTTTAGCACTGGGAGAATTCACTCGCCATGAAATAATAGTGTTTCTGAAGTTACCCCTGCAGCCTTATATCACTCCACTGTCAGCAATTAGGAAAGCTGAACAAAATCCGAGACCATTAGCTTCAGAAAACACATTTTGTCACTAAAATATTAACTTAAAAAAGCACAAGCTGTTGCTGTGTATATTAGGTTCTAAAAGAGCCACTTTGACTCAATGTTGAGCAGAAATGATTGCACTTTGCCTCGTATCACGAATCAGAGAAAGTTGGCGAATTTTTGTCAAAGTACTGTCAGAATTGATAAAAGAACGGCATTAAAACATCTTAAAAAGCTCAAAAATAGATATTCCGTGATATAGCTTGTATAAGTGGGTAAGGATAATAAAAGCCTGGACAGATGGGAATTGTAATTCCTGGCTAATTATAACATGGCCAACAAATGAGACTTTGTTCAAAGGAAAGTCAGAGTCTATCATCCACCTTCCCAATTTTAGAGACCGACATAAATAGAAGACGATGTTGGGACACGCATTTTTGGTTGCTGCTAGTCTACATGTGTTCAGACTGGGCACGGCCACAGCTAGCATTTTGGTCAGTGTGGTTTTCATTTTAGATCCACATTGTAACACCGCATTACATAGTTGAGAAGAAAATCATAATGTATGCGTGTTTTATTGGAGTTCGTAGCTAGTTTGCCTTCTTGTGCCTATTTGCGTTGGAATCGACATAAAAAGGCCAAAGGAGTTCAGCTTTTAATCTCTTTAAAACTAGAAGCCCTGCATGTTCTAGGCCACAAAGCTAGCAGATAAAAGAGGTTGTTGCTATGCAAATATTTTTTATGTCTAAAGTGTTTTCTTATTATTATTTATAAGCATTTGAGGGAGAGCATGAAAGCTAAGAACTGCTAACCTCACTCATTTTACTTGTTTCCTGTTTTAGCTGAATCCCAAATGGAAACAGATCTTTTCTGGACTCAGTAACTAATCCCTGCATGCTAACACTTTCCTTTTCCTTTTTTTAATCGTCGATTCCATTCTAGCCCCTATTTCGGGTGGTATAAGACAGAAGTAGAACTCAAAGTCCTTCTGGGAGGTGAATTCCAAGTTTAAATGCTAACTATTATGATGATCAACGAGTTCATATTTAAACTGGATATGAACTTTAAAGCCGATGAAAAGGTAAAAGGGTTCATTTAGCTGCTAAAAAGGCCTTCAGAAATACATTGGTTTTGACAGGTCTCCAGCTCATGGTGCTGCTTTAATCCACATTAGGGGCTGAAGGGTTTGATCAGAGAACAGCCATATATCCAAGGCTCTGGAGGTCAGTAGACAACTATACTACTGGATCAGTTCCTCTTTAAAAAGGTAGAAATGTTCCAACAGAGAAGGAAAACCAAGATGTCTTATAGTCCAAGTTTTCTCAGGAGGGAGATTGTCGAACCTTGGAGTTGATTTGGTCCATTGTGATCTTAAAATAAAATTTTAAAATCCATCCATCGAATACAAATAGTAAAGGTAAGAGATTTCTACCATAAGTCAAGCTGGCTGTGGACTAGATCAACTTCAAATGCAGAAACTACAACTAATACCTTCAGTCAAATAAATAGAGATACTGATCAACTTGCAATAGGTGGAGCCGAGCTCATCCATAACTATGAGGGCTCCTTGGGTTTACGGGGGAGGATTCTTCCCTGCCATTCCGACCCATGAGCTGATACAGACGGTGGCTGAGGTTCTGGACTTGGCAGGTTCCCAGGACACAACCCACTCTCTTCAACTGGGCATGCTGGGGGTGGCTTTTGCTCCCTCTTGAGTGCGTGTGGCCACGGGAGCGCTTAGCCCTTCTCTTGATCTGAAAAGCCTCAGTGAGCCGTCCCCATGTCAGGCCTGGAGATGCCGTCCTCACGCCTGACGCCGTAGGGTGCTGGAGTAAGCTGGACAGCCATTTGCGGAGTTTGTCTGTAACTGGATGTTGTAGGATGCTGTTTGTGGGGCTTTCTGAGGGGGCGGAGATCTCCTTTTCCTGGATGATGGGTTCTTCACGATCAACCAGTCTAAAAAAGGAAAAAAGAAAACTGGTAACAATATGTTCTTTTAGGTTTTTGTCATTTCTTCATATAGTTTGGACAAACATTAAATACATGTATGACTTCTAAAGAATAAAAAAGGTTATCATCTACACAGTCCAAAAACTGAGAGGCAGTGCTGGTACTTCCAAATGTAAAAATGGACTTCTTTCATTTTAGAAGCACATCCAGAGCACAAAGCCCGTCTTCAGCCCTGGAAACCTCTTCATGGAGTTTTTTCCATCTTGCCAAACCACGAGCGTTTCTAAGGAATATTTTCTTTTTACCCGGGAACTTCTGCAGAAGCCAGTTAATCTCTCATCTATTCCTGTTGCCAGAACCCAAACTTCTCAGGTGTATAAAGAGACTCAATACAGAATTCAAGAAGGCTCTGCCATGGGACTATTTCTCTCAAAGCTCACAGAATCAAATGATTATGTCATATATTACTTTGACAAAAAAGCAGGAATTTCTTTGGAAAGAAATCTGAATTTCATTTTTATTTCTTTATATAAACAGGAAGTCTTACAGACACACAGGATTGCGTTCAGATATGACCAGACTTGTTTTTGGTTTTGCGGCTCCAGGGAAAACGGCACATCAGTGGCGTTCTAACTCGTCCAACAATATAAATGTGTTTAAAAGCAGAGTCCGTTGGTTTTTGTTTTTTTTAATTGTCAGTAGGAGGACTGCCCCATTTTGCCAACAATTAAAATAGTAATTACCTTTGAAAAAAATGATGTGATTGATAACTGTAGATTTTCTCTGCACTAGGAACTAGCATATACATGTACAACTTCTGTGAGGTGGCAAGAAAAGTTTAATAGTATAGATGCCCACTACAGGGCTGTAGTGAGAAGGTTTGGGTCCTACTCTGTTTAAATGAAACATGACCAGAAACTGAGGCCCTTGGTGTTATTGAACATTTATTATCTATTATTTTATTTATTCTGTTCATTAAAACCGCAACAAATTCAACTAATAGTCTATCCCTGAACTAGACTATTACTTAATAGTTTTCATTGATCCTTGTCTAAAAGCTTTTGTCTGGAAAGTAGACATTTGGACAGTTTCTACGCTTGGAAAGATCTGGTGAGCAAAGTGATGAGCCAGCGGGTACCGGTCTCTCAGCAAACAGTAACCAAAGATCCACCATCTGTTCATTATTTGAACAGGCCGTGCATTTCTTAGAACATGACCTGGCAGCTCATCAGTATTACAGTCCAACCACAGAGTGTCCAAACTATCCCCACTGCTGGACACCAGGGTGGGGGACACACAGGAAACAGACTGAACCTTGCAGACAGGCAGTGGGAGTACTGATGTTTGAACGCTAGATCTCAGCAAATGCATCAGATGTTTGCTTTGCAGACAAACAGGAAAATGTAGCTCTGAGTTGTGGGTGGCAGATGCCACAGCTGTTCCAAATATAACATTGCTTCTTATTCAACAGGAGCATCCAGACTTTATGTGAAGGCTGTGATTTATTCAGCCAGTCAGGTGTGGTAGCCTGGTGAGGTTATTGTCAAACAGCTGGACAGACGGTTGCATAACGATGCCACAGAAGGTGGCAGGAAGGCTAAGCTCAGACTTGGTGAGCTACGCAGCCGCTCAACCGTGTGAACGGTATGGCCTCTGTTTAAGTTACTGAATGCATGTTTAGTGTCTTACTGCAATCAGATTTGTCTCTTGGTTCTAAATGTATTTTCATTGTGGATTTGAAATGATAATATTTCAGGTGACTCACACACTGACACTCACTGCCAGACCAGACAGAACTGTAATCTGCGGTGCTGATGATTCTAGGCCTGTGGGCTGGATGTTTAAATAGGAACTATCTTATAGTAGATGGCAGCCATTGGGTCAGAAAGGTAAATCCAAAGGCAGCAAAAGCCAGCGATAAATAAACAAGACATTCAGCATCGTCATCAGCTGTGCTTCCCGCTGAGTGCTGGTTGTTTCTAAGCAGGGAAGGCGTTCAATGCGGCGTGGAAAGCAGAGCTTGTTTCCATGTTTTGTTTTTTAATCGATAATCCAGAGAGGAATTCTCCACCTGTTTGGTCGCTGCTTTCAGCCCCTTTCACTGGAACTGTTTAATCCCAAAGACTGAAGAGATTTTAAAAAAACCAAAACTCCAATAATAAAAGTAAAGTATTAAATCTGTGCAAAGGAGAAAAAACACAGAATCTCCTACAGATGATGTCTGGTGGACTGTAGCTCACTGTTGTTCTTCATTAATGATTTAAAAGAGAACAACATGACATAATTTGACCTCGGTGACGATAAACAAACCTGGACCATGACACAAGAACTCAGACTAAACTGTCATGTTATTGTACCATGACGCAGACACAGCAGGGTCCAAATAGGTCCAACTGCAAATCTCAGCATGTCCTTCATCTCAAAAACAAGATATTTGTTCTTAGTGAGATCTGGGCAGCAACCAAAGAACCATTTAACTGGTTTGAAGGCACATCTGAGAAAAGATTTCTAAAGCAAACAGAAAAGAGCTTCTGTCCAAACAATGAATTGGAAAAATGAACGCTGAACAGCTGCAGAAGTCAAGATTGAACTCTTAGTGGAAGGAGGTCAGAGTTGTTTAAGTTTCATTTGGATGGAAGCTAATTGAACAATAAAAACGAGAACTATGGAACCATTCAGAAAGACAGATCTTCAGCTTTTAGAGAGTTTTTTTTCTTTTAAAGTAAAAAATAAAGTCAGGTGAGAAGGAGATAAAGGATATTTGCTGCATGTGGTCAGAGGAACACTTAACTTCTCCTACAGGGGTTCAGCATTACCTTATCAGGCTACAGAGATGCACCGTCGACAGATACAGAACATGGAAGGAATGAGAGAAATCCAAGCTCACAGGCAAAGAAATGTGGAATATATGAGTCTGTTATGATTCCTCTGACAGTGTGTGAAGATAACAGGACATCATGTGCAGAGAGGAGGAAGAATTTGGAGCCTTAATAAGACAGCAACAGAACAGTTAGAACCGATGATGCTAGAAGGGGGATTCAAGCATTGAAAAACTGGCAGACTGGATCCAACGGAGAAAAAGATGCATTTGAGGGATTAAGATACGGCCAAGGGGATTACAGGCTGGCAGGTGAAGGCTTCAGCAGCAGGTGTTCAGCGCTCGGTCACTCATCAATAGACAAAGAGATGGCACGGTTTGATAAAGTTACAATAGGCCATCTAAAGAGATGCTACTTGATTAAAAGCTTCGGGATTTTACCCAGAACTGCCGCTTTAAAACTCTGGGGGGGTTTCCAAAAAACACAGAAAAAAAAATAAAACATTCTAATCTGCTTTATGGTTTATATATCAACATATCATATTTTTTAGAGGCAACTGTTTTACTTTCAACTAAAATAAAAAATGTTAGTGATAAAAATTTTCTGTTTTCTATAGTTTTTATAAAGCTGTAAATTGAGGGATCTAAAGACTTTCTAAGAGACCATTCCTAAACCACTTTGAATATGAAGCAAGTGAAAGCCTCACCCTGAGCACAGAGGAAGAGGCTCATTAAGCCTTAAATTAAAGACAGAATTCAAGTGTTTGGAAATATTTCCGAGTGAAAAAAAACATGCAGGATCTGGAGGCTTAAGAAGCTATTATATGTGGTTCTGCTGGAGGTTTCTTCCTGTTAAAATTTAGCTTTTCCTCTCCACTGTCGCTACAAGCATGCTTAATGGGAGGGATTGCCTTTGAGTCAAGAAGTCGATGCAATCAGCTGGTTTTCCTTAGATAGAAAACTTTCAATCTGACTGAATGATCTGGTGAACTGTAAAGTACCTTCAGATATAAGTATTTTATTCTGCCAAACTTCTACAATAGGGCTGAAACAATTAATCAGGTTAGTCACTATTTATAGATTATTATAATAATCAATGGTTCATTTATACTTGGCCTAAAACAAGCCCCTTACAGAAAGAAACACCAATTCAGGGCTGCAATTAAGTGGAAAATGTAAATAAATATATTTTAATTTTGCATTTTAACATGTCTTAGTGATTAACAATGCGTTTAAAATTTTAATATATTATTTTTTTTTAACGTTCATTTTTAAATCTATACTAAAACAAATCGCTCTCAGTAGGTTATAGTTGACTCATATAAACAGACAGAAAAAGTTAAACCTGAAGTCAGAAACTGAATCAACAGAGCACACAGGTCCACCAGTAGAGGGCGCCCTTTACACTCTGTTTCCTTTAAACTGCTACCTTTTGCAACTGCACCATTACTTGGATGAGCATCACTCAAACAGCAGAATGAGCCTACAGCCTGTTAGTGAGCACAATGATTGATGTAGAGGTTGTTTCCTAATCTTTTATTGCAGAGCTTTGCAGCTAAACCCTCTGCTATTAAAAAGAACAGGTGCCATTCATGGTTGCAAAGCTCCATTATGGAGCTCCATTCATACATACGAACTGGTTTCCCCACCTTGTATAATCACCGGGAGGTCTTTCCACATCGTAACTCATGTCTAAGTTTGGGATTTAAAGGTGGAGCAAAGAAAAACAGGACTAACATGACTGATTTACTGCTGAGTGCACTTTAACCTACAATCCGCAGACCGGCTCCTGATTACAGCAGATCTCCTGACTCCACTGGCCACCCCACTCGCCACTGTAAATTATAGTTGCTTCAGGTCAGCATTTCATCCCATTATTCACAGCCAGTGACGTAACATTAAAAAAAAAAATCACACAAAACCGTAGCAGCCATTCAGAATGGCCCTTCCCAGTCAAAAGCCAGCAAAATGGCTGCAAAATCCCCTCCAACTTCCAGCCACTGGCCTTCTCCTGGGCGTGCATATTTTTTCACTGTGACTCCATCTTTCTCTGAACTGCAGGGTCTGACCAGGAGATAATGTTTGTCTTTAGATCTTAATGTCCACAAATCAAGACAGAAAGAATATTTTAGATGTTTAACAAGGAACTGTAGGGGACTAGCCAAGGACCAGCCAAGGAAAGTGAGGACATTTTGAATGGCTACTGCTGTAAACCAGGATCTGAGGAGGTGTTTACTGAAGTCTTTCTGATTTCTACAGGCAGGTTTACCACAATAGTAGATTCAAACCCTGAAATTATGGCTTTTAGTTTCAGTGGCCACCCCAAGATGTTTAGTGGCCCCAGGAGGATTCATTGTCTCCTGTAAATGTTGCTATGCTCTTCTTATGATTTCATATCTGACCTTGCATGGAGCCATGACCCCAATCAACAGTTTTACTGCTTCTGAGATAGCAGCAATAAAATACTAGGTCACATTTGTTCCTCAGATAGAAGACAGGAATAATGAGGAGGTTTTCCTGCTATATTTCTAATGTCTTTATGTATTTGTTTGCAGTGATGCTTAAAAAAGAGACAATGTTTGATTGGATTTAAAGCCTTCGACCTTGTAGTTAATTTTTCTGCAGCTCTGGACTCTCATGTGACTCCACGCAGAGACACGCAGACAGAAAGTCTGAACTCAAACTGTGGCTTTATTTAAACAGCAGCGCCACGCGGGCAGAAAACTCATTTCCAACCTTTCAGATCTTCATTTGCTGCTCAGCAGCTGATTCAAAGTTTCCGACTTGGTGACGCAGCACGGCGCGTGACCATCTGATCTAAGCCGACAGGTGCGCGACTTTTTAAACTTTTCTGCTCGGCCAATCAGGCGTAGCTTCGTTCCTTGGTATAAAAAAGGCGCACAGGTGTGTCGCTGCATGTTTAGGCGGTCTTACCTGTTCCCGTCAGGACGCTCCCCGGCCGGCGAAGCCGACAGCTGCTGGAGGGAGAGCAGGCTGATGCAATACAAGCCCAGGAGGAAGGTCCGCATCTCCGGCAAGGATCTCACTCTCTGTGGAAAACAGTAGGAGGGGATTTCTGCCCGGCTTCACGTCCAAGGATGCGGGAGAATAATCAATATAAGAAGAAGAAGAAGAAGTTGATGCTGGACTCAGGTTTCACTCTTTGGTCAAACTGGAGATGTGAATGACACCTTAAAAAGAGGCAAAACAGAAAAAACTGGATGTTTTAATTCTTTATGCTGAAAGAAAATGTCAAAAACGTTTGTTCATTATTAAAATGCGCTCTCTCCCAATAAAACTGAGCATTCAACAACTTTTTGCAGAAAAATTACAACCAGAACCCTTTTTTTCTGATATATTACCTATATTGTTTAAACATGCAACATAAAGTGTCTTAATCTTACCTTTAAGTTGGAGGTGAGACCATAGATTCAGTCAAAAGGGATCCTATTCCTATGAATCCAATCCTGTTGGTCAAGATCCAGTTCCAATGTGAAGCTGAGCTGCCTAACAGAGGATTTAAATAGAAGGTGGGCGGAGTTTCAAGTAACAAGTATTCACCATCCTTCTGAAAAGTTAGCAGTGTGCAAGTCTGTGATACAAACCCAGGAATCTTTACTCTGGATAGATACAGGGTCTGCAGTGAAAGTCATGGGAATGAGCTGAAAGATGAATAAAACCTTTAATGATGCTGAAATCATAGCAGGTTTTTTCTAAAAAAAAGTTTAAAAAAACAATCCTCTGGACTTTGTCTCCAAGTTTGAAACCGTTTCTCTTCCCATCCAGGAAGCTTTTTCAATTCAAAATGTCAGGAATAGCATTGAGTTACAGGCTTTATACAGAAGCCCATCAAAGCTTTGGGAAGCAAAACGTCTTAATACTTGGAAACAAAGTCCAGTGTATTGTTTGTTTTAACTTTTTTGGAATGACTCTGACCTGGATGACTGAGAATCTTCTGCGTTTTCTCCTAAACCTCTTGAACATTCCAACATTTTCATTATTAATTCAGTGGATGAAAAACTGCTCTGTTCTAGCAGTATGCAGAGGGATACGCTGAGACATTCATTTTTTACAGGAAAACAATTTTCTTTAAAAAAATTATTATTTTAAAGGTTTTTAAATTCATGAATCGCACATATTTGGGAAAAGTAATCAGATGTTTGTAAAAACTAGATCATGGTAGAAGTAGCTCGAAACATCTCTAACAGGACACTGGTTTAACGTCAGCTCTGAAACGTCACTTAACGGTTCCAGAAAAATCATGTCAGCCAATAAAAACGAAATAAATGATCCTCAGGAATGAAGTTTTGAATAAATATGACAAAAAGTATCAGGAGTTAATTAGCCCTTCCGATCTGTAGGCAAACCCTTCTTAACACAGACATGATTCATTCACTCCTGAGTTTTCTTTGTTATCATAATCCACCATGCACGTACTTTAGAAAGGAAGCAACATTTTGAAGAAATTCAGTGAAACCTCCCCTATCTGTTATCCAGAGGCGTAGCCAGAAAGTTTTTAGAAGGGTGGCCAGGCAGCAACCAATGTACATTGAGGGGTGACTGAAAGGGTCACACTGTTCCAAAAGGAAAATTAACAACTAAAACATCCATATTTTATAAATAAAGACAAACCATACTTTACTACAGGCTTTGCTAACAAATAGACGCATATATTTAAACATCCATCCTGTCTAAATTAGGTGTAGTAGAAAAAATGTATTTCAGGTTTGAGTTCTGGGGCTTTTTTGGGATAATCATTAATAATCATTCTGCAAAAAAAAAAATGTATATATACAAGTACTAATATCAACATGAATTGATTATTTGATACGTTTTTATTAAAATAGTTTTTTAACTATGATTTCACTAAAGACTCCAGCATGACTTGCAGAGACGCATCTTTTTTTCTTTACCCCATGAGACAAAATCTATTTCTGAAAAGAGCAGGAATTCTGTATTTATCATCTTTAATGTTGGTATATTGATGTGCATCATTTATCACAGTGTTTTTGTTGTAAAGTAATTGTTAATATATGTAAAATGTCAATGTTTTGAATATTCCACTTGAGAGTATTACTGCTGCAACCTTCTATATTAGAGGGAAAAACTGGTAGGGGTGGCCAATGATTGGCTAAGGGTGGCCATGGCCCCTCCTGTCCCCCATTCAGCTCCGCCACTGCTCTTATCATCACCAAGTGTTTCACCCAGATATGACGGGATACAGGAATCTCCTCCCTGCTGCTGCTTTACAGGTCATATCTATCATTAGGACACATCCCTGTTAAATTCACCCACACTATTTCCTGCACCATATAAACTGTAGTTTATTGCTGATTTTTTGGAGTTCCTGGTAGGAAATTTTTTTTTGCTTGTATGATTCAGCAGATGCTGTAGCACAGCGAGCTTGTTTGCTTTTTCTCATGGCATCAAACAATAAAACAGGTTGCTGCGTGTAAGCTACACGTCTACACATTTTTCACAGTCTTAAAAAAATGACTCAGGTCTCAAATTGGTGTGTTGATTTTTATATCACATTATCTTACTGCTAATTAATAAACCTGGTGAAACCAAAGATGAGGATTGCATCATTGGCAAAGTGAAGTAACATCCAGATAGAATGAAGAGGAGAGTTATGCTTTTACATGTTATTTTTAATTTGCCACTACAATAAATATGACTCACCTGGGGTGTCTCTCATGCAGGGGCGGATTGAGCATTAGGCCTAGTGCCCCAAGTTTCTGAGGGGCCCATAAAATTCCTTTTACATGTATGGTTAATGCAGCTTTTACTTATTTCTGCACATTAATTATGTTTTTAATAAAAATCCTCATTAAAATGCCATCGGAATCTCCCCTATTCTAATAACATTTCTCTATCTGTAGAATGACTCTGTTTTATGTGTTGTCTCCTCAGTTCAGAGGGCCCCCTGCCTGTCTTTGCATAGAGCCCGAAATATCCTAACTCTGCACCTGCTCTCATGCAGTGGCAGTTCTAGTTGCAGTTATGTAAGTTTTTACTGAAAAATATCTTTAAAAACCCTTTTCATTTTACCCTTCACAACTAAAACATGGTTTGATGAGCAGTGTTGCCTCAGTAGTTCAGCACCAATGCATCTAGAAATCTGTAGCCTATTTTCCTGAAGGTACATCAGGTCAGAAGTTTTGAAGCTGTTTGGCGGATGTGACATCAAGTGTGTCCGTGTTAAACGGGTCTAACCAAGCAAACGATAGAAGCATTATATTTAAGAGGGTGGATAACCATCCAGCTCTACAGACTTCAAGCAGCTCCAGGTAAGGTGAAAAAACCTTACTGAGAACAAGTGTGAGCAATGACAATGAGCATAAAAGAGCTGCAGTTTAGTGTTTTGGCCACAGGTGGCAGCATGCAGGTAGCAGATTGCAGACCTCTGATTAAACAGTTGAAAACAATGTTTCTATGGCAACACAGCAGATACATCTTTTCTTAGACAGTTTTAAAACAAGAAATTGATCCAAAGGAGCCATGAACAAAATTTTGATTTCAGAAGTTGGGGGGTGCAAGTACTTTTTAATCCAACTAACTTCAGCGTGTTTGGCCGTCAAATCACAAATCAGATTCAGAGGCGCATCACATGTTTGTAAAGTGAGCATCTCAGGAGTGACAGCAGTGACAGCCAATCACACAGGGAAAGAAGGTGGGCCAATCAGGAGCTTGTGGGAGGTCCAAACTCAGGGAAGCGTTCTTCAGTTTGAGCTGTGGTTTTCCTCCTGGTCCAAAATAACATCCATGAAAGGACCTTAATCAGCATGTGCTATCATATAAAAACTGTCTGGATTATATCTTCAGTACAGCTGACACCCCAGGAGGCAATACCAGTTCTAAATGGGCCCCTGTTGGCCCCCTGTAGAACCACCCATGCTCTCATTTGAAGCTAAGGATGAACTGATTCTGCTGAGTCTATGACTGAACCTAAACTCAGCATCAGAGTACAGAAACACGTTATTTAAGGTCCTCTACAACCATCATCCATCCTATGTTAATAATCTTATCGACACCAACTAAGTGGCATAAGCTAGTTTGATTTTGACTTTCACCTTTTTTCTCTTAATTCTTTCCTACTTTTATCAGATTTCTTTCAGTAATCATTTTATGATTAATCCAATGAACTGTTTAAGCTTTGCCTGAATTCTGGATTAAATCCAATTTTTCTCCCTCTTCCACCAAACAGCCAATGTTACATTCAGTGGGTGTTTGTTCAAACAACAGCCTTCACCCCTGGTCTTATTGATTTGTGATGACATAGGAAAAGTAATTTCCCAACACGGAAATCTGGGAGTAACACGTCTATCAGTCAGAGTTTGTTGAGAAAACAGGTCGCCTCTTTGATTTGACGGATCTGTTTGCATAAGCTCCACATTGAGTCCCCTTTGAAAACAAGCTTTCTCTTTACGTTTGATCTCTCAGTCGATGCCTGCTGTTACTTTTGTTTTGGGCGGCAATTAGTGAAGATGACTCAGTACTCTGTGATGCGGATAATCGTGGCACAGAATCATTTATCCGATATAAAGCTGGGAGGATGCAGTCAGCTGATCAAAGACCAATCAAATCGCTGATTTTTCTCCAATCTTTATTTTCTCTGTTGTTTTAGAATAGTGGCGAGCCTTTGAATGACAGACACAGTTTGCTTGATTTATTGGTTCATTGGCTGTAAAAGATAGAAAGGAAACAATGTGGAATTAATTCTCCCATGTTGATTGTGCACAACATTATGTTTCCTCTTATAAATAAGAGCCAGGCTTCATTGGGACAGACCTATAAAAATCAGCATTTGAATGTGAGGTTTCTGACCATTTAACCATCATGACACATTTAATATTTCTATGACTTCTCTCCTCTCATTTGTTGTGGTTCTACAAAGATTTCTATCTCAGATTGTCCCACAAATTAAATGAACTAGAACTTCTAGGTCCAGACTCCATGGCTGATTGCTGAAAATATAAAAGCATGTTTCTGGTGGTAGTAAACATCTGACCAGTATACATGTGAGGATCCCAGTTCCAACCAGTCCTTGTTAAATGAGATGTGCAGCAAAACAAAGACATAATGGAGGCTTAGTAGCAGGGCAGCGAACAAGCTGCAGCTCTCAGGATGGTAAACACCTGTTCAGGAAGGACACTGAGTCTCTCCAGGTTTCATCAGCCCACTTCTTTACCCCGATAAGTCAACAAAGGCTGGAGATGTTTTTTGCCCTCTTGGGTCTCTAATATATATGAAAAAAAAAACAGAAACATTTGGAAATGAGCAGACTGTTTCTATTGGATGCAAAAACATACATTTTATGTACAAGCAGTAAAACAAAACACTATATCTATAGAGTATAACAAATCAGAATGTTTACTAAAAGTTTGTTTATGAAAAATAACTTGGATTATTATGCAGTTTGCAGAATTTCAGCTGCATTTTGCAGCTTTGCTACAATGGGGCAAAAGAGTTGACTCCTTCC